CAGGTGCCTAGGAACTAGCTCATCAACTTCAAAACCCCCACCCCGTGAACAAGACAGACTCATCCTGTGCAATCTTCTCAGAGGTGTGTCTACCACGGGATATGCTGCCCTTGGTGCCCTGTGGTTCCTATTTCAGTTTTGTTTCTTGAACTCCTCCCCCCCCTCCCCCCCCAGGCAGTGATCTGGGGCCTTAAGATGGCAGGGAGAGGGGCCACACCTGTTGTAGCTGATGGGCTTGTGGTTGCAGGGCTCCCAGACGTTGGATCCCACCATGCAGCAGTCCACGTAGTAGCCGAGTAGGTCCTCTTGGTGTTTTGGCCTGTCCCATTCCACCACGACCGACGTCTTTGTGTCCCGGGATACAAGGACCCGGCCGGGCGCAGAGGGGGTGACTTCGCAGGGGAGACGGATTGGTACATGGTCAGTGATATTGGGGTTTCAGAAGACACACCACGACCTTCCAGCCCCTCTGTCCACAGGGCATGGCAGCCCAAGTTTGGGCCTTTAGATAAAATTTGGATGAGGAGGAGGAGAACGAGGGTGGGCGAACCATCAGAGGGCCCAGGGGTGCCTGCCAGGCGTCTCTGTCCTCCCGAGGCCCCACCTGGCCCCACAGAAAAGGGGATACAATCATGAAATCGCCCGTCCCTCCACCCGGACGACTGAGGGATCTTCCGGCGACACTGTGCTTTGGCTAAGTGGGCAGTAACTGTGTTGGGATGGAAAACTGCCGACTGTGAGGCAATCGGCCACAATCCCACCCTGTTCGTCTCTGAAGGAACTCGGACTCATGTCCTGATTTGACTAGGGTTCTGCGCCTCGTCTAGCATTTGACATCATCAGAGCAGGAACCTCAATCATACACACAAAACACTCCAGTCCATCTAGGGACTGGGATATTTTATAAACGTAATTGTTATTGACTTCAGAGAGGAAGGTAGAGGGAGAGATAGAAACATCAATGATGAGAATCATTGATAGGCTGCCCCTTGCACACCCCCCACTGGTGATGGAGCCGCAACCCGGGCATGTGCCTTGACCAGGAATTGAACCGTGACCTCCTGGTTCATAGGTCGACACTCAACCACTGAGCCACGCCGGCCCGGTGGGACTGGGATTTTCTTAAAGTGACCATTGCCTAAAAGTATGTGTGACCCATTCATCATTCATAAGATGGGACTTTGGAGAAATGTTGAGAACGGACCAAAGCGAGGCCGAGGGAGCTTTCCTCTCTGGTCAAATGAAACGTTCAGGCTCCTTGAGTTACAACTCCTGTGCGACGCTAGTGTCTTCATCAACACAGTCCCGGGCACCCGATGCCGCCTTACTCAGGGCCCGTCCGGAAGCGCGGCCGCTCGCGGTACCACTCACCTATGGTGTCCTGGGCCTGGATGGGGGGCGTGATTTCCGACGGGTCGCTCAGCCCGTGCTTGTTTGCAGACAGAACGCGGAACACGTAGGGCTTCCCCTCCGCGAGGTCAAAGACGGCGTAGCGCGGCGACCTGACCGCTGTCTGGGCATTGACTCGCTGCCAGCTGCCGCTCCCGACCATGGACTGCGGGAGAAGGGGGCTGTGACAGGCCGACCATGGACTGCGGGAGAAGGGGGCTGTGACAGGCCGACCATGGACTGCGGGAGAAGGGGACTGTGACAGGCTGACCCCCAGCGGCCGCCCCCTACCATGGACTGCGGGAGAAGGGGGTTGTGACAGGCCGACTCCCAGTGGCCGCTCCCGACCATGGACTGCAGGAGAAGGGGACTGTGACAGGCCGACCCCCAGCGGGCCGGAGGGAAGCGTCCGTCTTAGCGACCAAATCATACGGTGGGCTGCCCATCCTCTACCCCGACACAGGGCCCTCGTAACGTCTTTATGATGTGTGTGGAAAGGGAAGCCGATATGAGAAGGTAAGAAAGTATTTAAAGCTGAAAATGCTGACCAGTAAAATTCTTACTCGAAAGCGAGCAATCATGTAACATAACTTTGGTTCCACAGACAGTTACAGCTTCTCCTGACGGCAGAGGCTTTGCCAAGGCAGCCCCCAGCCCAGGGCGGACCCCCCCACGGCAGCAGCTGACACCTGCGCATCGAGTGCAAGGGCAGGTGATTGTGAAACGGGATGCACGGCACGTGGAGAGGGTGTACGCTTTGTTGGGTATATCTGTGTGTGCATGTGTATCTGTATGTGTGCCTGTGTGTGTATCTGTGTGCATGTGTGTGTCTGTGTGTATCTGTGTGTGTATGTGCATCTGTGTGTGTGCATGTGTATCTATATGTGCATGTGTGTCTGTGGGGGTGCATGTGTATATGTGCATGTGTGTCTGTGGTGTGTCTGTTTGTATCTGTGCATGTATGTGTATCTGTGTGTGCATGTGTATCTGTATATGCATGTGTGTCTGTGTGTGTGTCTGTGGGTGCATGTGTGTCTGTGTGTGTGCATGTGTATCTATATGTGCATGTGTGTCTGTGGGCAGTGCATGTGTATATGTGCATGTGTGTCTGTGGTGTGTCTGTGTGTATCTGTGTGTGCATGTGTATCTGTATATGCATGTGTGTCTGTGTGTGTGTCTGTGGGTGCGTGTGTGTCTGTGGATGCATGTGCGTCTGTGTGCCAGTGCCTGTGGATGCATGTGTGTCTATGTGTGCATGCGTGTGTGTGTGCGTGTGGGGGTGCATGTGATAGGTGTGTTCCAGGGCCACAACATGCCAGCTATTTCTTTCTTTTTGTTGTTGTTTCTGTTGTTGTTGTTTTTCATCTTCACCAAGGATATTTTTCCCGTTGTTTTTTAGAGAGAGTGTAGGGAGGGAGGGGGAGGGAGAGAAACATCAATGTGAGAGATTCACATCAACTGGTTGCCTCCCCATACGCACCCAACCAGAGGGGGGACCCAGCCTGCAACCGAGGTACACGCCCTTGACCAGAATAGAACCCGCGACCCTTCAGTCCATGGGCGGACACTCCAACCACTGAGAAAGCCTGGGCAGGCCAACAGCTGGTTCTCTCTCTGTCCAGAGCTAGGCCTGCCTGACCGGCGGCCACCTGAAGTGGGAGTCCCTCTACAGGGTCGCCACCCAGTGGCCACGCGGCTTCTGAACAAATCACCCTCAGGGCCGGCAGCCTCCCCCGCCTCCAAGACACAGAGCGGCCGCAGCGATGGGTAGTCTCGGGAGGGGAGCCGTACCTTCTCAATGAAGTAGGTCAGGGGCTCCTTGCCCCGGGGGACGGGGGGCTCCCAGCTGAGGACCACATAGGTCCTGCTGACCTCTGAGGCGTGCACGTTGGTGGGCGGCCCCGGGATCTGCACGTCGCCTGGAGGGGAAGACAGCAGTGAGCACGGGCGGGGCACACGGAGGAGCCCACATGGGAGTGGACACGCTGGGCGGACTGTCTCGGAGCCGAGGCGGCAGGCCCGGGAAAGACCACGCATTCCAGCTCTGCCCCGAACCAGCTCCCAGGAAAGGAGCCAGCCAGCGGCCAGGGTTCCTGCTGGGCCTGGGGGTGGGGATCGGCCACCAGGAACCACCGCAGCCTGGGCTGCCCTGGGGCGAGGTTTGGAGAAGGGACGGCCGCTGAGCACCGTTCAGGAGCAAATAGGAACACCAACCAGCGGACTCCCCGAGGGGGCCTCTGGGGACGCGGTGGGGCCGAGGCCATTGGGAGGGGAGCTCGAAGTGCATAACCTTAGGCGGCGGCTCCACGTTAACCAACTATTTTTTTTTTATTGATTTCAGAGAGGACGGGAGAGGGGGAGAGAGATAGAAACATCAATGATGAGAAAGAATCATTGATCAGCTGCCTCCTGCATGACCCCTACTAGGGTGGAGCCTGCAACCCAGGCATGCGCCCTTGACCAGAATCAAGCCTGGGACCTTTCAGTCCACAGGCCGACGCTCTATCCACTGAGCCACACCGGGTAGGGCAACAAACTATTTTTTATTAAATGTTCACGCTTGTCCTCCGATTATGGGCCCGGACCGATAACGCGAGCCCCTCCTTCCCGGCGGCTGCGGGAGGAGGTGGAGAAGCACTCGCAGGGTCTGACAGGGATGTGATGGGAGGGCTGAGGCCAGTCCGTTAGTGAAACAGAAGTGACCCTGCTGCCCGGACAATGCTGAGCGCTGGCCCAGGCACGGGCGGTGTGAGAAGGAACCAGCTCCCACTCTTCAAGCCTCGGGGCCGGTTTGGCTGCTTCTCCCCGTCCCCAAAGCAATGCACCCTGGACCCACATACACAACAGTGTCCACGATTGGCCACAGGACGCCTAGGCTCACTCCCTCATTCTGTCTTGTGTTTTCAGCTTTCCCAGGCCTCAAGTGTGCAGGTCTGACCCACAGGTGTCACACTTACTGTAGGGTGTCCCTGTCACCAGCTGCTTCCCCTCTCTCCTCTGCCTCGAATTACAACCCAGTCCCGGGGGGTGAGAGCGACTTACCTTCCAGGTCATCCTGATAGATCACAATTTCTTTATCTTCCCCCAAACGGACGGCTGCAGAGAGAAAGGTTGATGCTAAATTTGACATCCAAGGGTGTCTTTAAAAAGCACTATTTTGCCCGCCCGGTGTGGCTCAGAGGTTGAGCATCGTGACCCATGAACCAGGAGGCCACGGTCTGATTCCCATCAGGGCACGTGCCCGGGTTGCAGGATTCATCACCAGAAGGGGGCGTGCAGGAGGCAGCTGATCAATAATTCTCTCCCATCACTGACGTTTCTCTCTCTCTCTCTCTCTCTCCCTCTCCTTTCCTCTCTGAAATTAATAAAAATATTTAAAAAGCACCATTTCTGCCCTAATCAGTTTGGCTTGGTTAATAGAGCATTGGCCTGTGGACTGAAGGTCGCAAGCTTGATCCTGATCAAGGGCATGTACCTTGGTTGTAGGCACATCCCCAGTAGGGGGTGTGCAGGAGGCAGCTGATCGATGTTTCTCTCTCATCCATGTTTCTGGCTCTCTATCTCTCTCCCTTCCTCTCTGTAAAAAATCAATAAAATATATTTTAAAAGCACCATTTCCCTCATTGCCTATGAGGCACGAATCGCCTTTGCTCCATGATGACGGCGTGTTCCCTGCCCTGAGGTCATCAGAGCTGCCTCTGTGGAAATGGTCTGGACGATGTTCAGCGCTTCTCCGCTCTTTGCAGCAGGCGCGAGAGGCCATGCAGGTAAGGGACACGCATGGGGCTCCCTTAAGAGCATAACTAAGGGTCCCATCCCCTGGGGGAACCTGCATCGTGTGAAATTAAAATTCCAAAATAGAGTGGCTCGGTTTCAACACCTGGCTCCTGGTGTGTTGAAACTATACCCTCAGTGGGCTTGGCAAAGCCTAATTCTGCGCCCAGGTAGCTGGATTCCAGTGGAGGGCGGCAGGAAGGTGCACTGAGGTATAAACAGAGCCCGGCTCCCCACTCCCCCAGGGCATTCACGGGAGACCACTGGAGACCACGGGAGATCATGGGACACCACAGGAGACCACGGGAGACCACGGGAGACCACGGGACACCACGGGAGACCATGGGACACCATGGGAGACCACAGGAGACCACGGGAGATCATGGGACACCTTGGCCCTCTCTGGCCCTCCCCACCCATTAGCATGTCCTCGAGCAGGAGTAAGCAAACTTTTTGACTCGAGGGCCACAATGGGTCTTAAACTGGACCAGAGGGCCGGAACAAAAGCATGGATGGAGTGTTTGTGTGAACTAATATAAATTCAAAGTAAACATCATTACATAAAAGGGTACGGTCTTTTTTTTTTTAGTTTTATTCATTTCAAACGGGCCGGATCCGGCCCATGGGCCGTAGTTTGCCCACGGTTGTCCTCGAGGCTCAGACACAGCCGGGGGTAGGGAGAAAGGAAGAATCACACAACACGGCCCCACGGCACCAGCCCTGGCCAGACTCTGACCTCTTAGGGACCCACCTTGTAACCTGGTGAGGTCAGCAGGGTCCAGGGCAGCCACAGCCTCCGAGGCTCGGGACGGCCGGCTGACGCCCGCGCTGTTGATCGCCCTGACGCGGAACTCGTACGACCGCCCTTCCAGCAGCCCCGTCACGGGGTACTTGCAGATTTTTACGGGGGAGTCATTGCACTGAACCCAACTGTTCGTCCCCACCTCGCACCTTCAAAGAAAAGAGAGTCAAGAGTAACAAGGACATCAGCGTAATGAGTCTATGGGAGCGTACACCTACTGAGACGTATATACGCTACTGGGGGCCCCGTGCATGGATTCGTGCACCAGTGGGGTCCCTCGGCCTGGCCTGCACCCTCTCACAATCCAGGACCCCTTGGGGGATGTTGGAGAGCCAGTTTCGGCCAGATCCTCACAGGCCAGGCCTAGGGACCCCACTGGTGCACAAATCCATGCACCAGGCCTCTAGTATGCATACAAGATCTTTGGTTAATCTCACCTCCCCCCTCCCCCATTCCCCCTCCCTTCCTCCCTCTGAGATTCATCAGCCTGTTCCACGTTTCCATGCCTGTGAGTTGAGTGTCTGCCCCCTGGTGGTCAGTGTGTGTCACAGCTACCGGTGGAACGGTTGAACTGTCGCTTAGGCTTTTATACATATAGATAACAATTATAACAGGCAAAGATCTCACATGGGCAAAATGGACGCCATCAAAATATCGATTTACACTAACAGCACAAATAAATGTTAAAAGACAGCTACTTAGGAAATATCGAGTATATTCCCAAGCCTCTGTAACGTATAGGCTCGGATCAGGTCCTGACTCCTGGGGAAATCATCTCAGATCTCAGACCCGTCCTCCCTCGGTAGCTCTTGAAAACTCACATCACAAAATCTCAGGTGCCCTAAGCTCCCTGGCCCGTCTGCTGCCCAGGCTGCGGAGGGGGAACGGCCGTGCACCCCATGGCCCAAAGGGGGACCAGTCACAGTGAGGCATATTCTTCTAGCAGGCTTCTCGTGTGGAATTTGGAAGTCTCCCAAAAACATCAAGTCCTACCCTGGCTGGTGTGCTCAGTGGTTAGAGCGTGCCCATGCACCAAAGGGTTGCAGATCTGATTCCCTGTCAAGGGCACTTACCTGGGTTGCAGGTTCATACTGTGCCCGTGTCAGGGCGTGTGGGGAAGCAACCAATCAATGTTTCTCTCTTACATCGATGTTTCTCTCTCTCTCTCTCTCTCTCTCTCTCTCTCTCTCTCTCCTTCCCCCTCCCTCCCACTGTTTCTAAAAAATCAATGAAAACATATCCTCAGGTGAAGATCAACCAAAAAGAAAAGAAAACATTAAGTCCCGACCAGAAATCTGGACATGATCGCCCTCCGTTTCCCGGAGGCGGGGATACAGTATTCAAGTGCCAACACTTCTGGTCGGATTTCCCAGGGAAATGACGTTGAAAAACCAGCCTTTGGAGCAGCTCCGTGTCAGGGCTGCATCTTCATTTCAAAAGGAATCATCTCTCTTTTCCTAACTAGGCAGCATTTTTGATGAAAGGCCTCTGACCCACAGGTGCTAACCTGCTGCGGCCGAGTTCTGTGTTTTTATCGGGTTTGGGATTTTTTACATGTTTTCACTCATTTCAGAGAGAGGCTGTGGCTCAGGGGCTGAGCATCGACCTGTGAACCAGGAGGTCACGGTTCAATTCCCGGTCAGGGCACAGGCCCGGGTTGTGGGCTCAGTCCCCAGTGGGGCGTGCAGGAGGCAGCCTGTCCATGAGTCTCTCTCCTCATTGATGTTTCTCTCTCTCTCCCTCTCCCTTCCTCCCTGAAATGAATTTTAAAAATATATTTAAAGAATGGTGTCGTGAGCCAAGTGTAGGAAACATCCAAATATCTTGTCCGTGTATTTCATGGAACATTTCAGGAACACTCCCGCCCTGTAAGGACGCAACGGACACGCACCGGTCGACGAAGTAGCCGATGACGGCGCCCTCCGAGGTCGTGTTGGGCGGCTTCCAGGTCACGATGACATAGTCTCGGTTGGCATCATGGCACCGCACGTCCATGGGTGCGCCCGGAGCCCCTGTGACCAGCGGGTCCGCATCTGGTGGGGGGAAGGCAGAGGAGAGGTGACCTGTGATGAGAGTCCCTGGCGGGGACATTTGAAAGCCTGTTGAGCCCGGCCAGTGTGGTTCAGTGGCTGAAGGTTGACCTATGAGCCAGGAGGTCACGGTTTGATTCCTGGTCAAGGGCATATGCCCAGGCTGCGGGCTCGATCCCCAGTCGGGGGCGGGCAGGAGGCAGCCAGACAATGATTCTCTCTCATTGATGTTTCTCTCTCTCCCTCTCCCTTCTTCTCTGAAACCAATAAAAACATAATAAAAAGAGAATTAAAAACCCCTGACAACTTCTTCAAACTCAGATGCCCAGATGCCCGACAGGGCCCCTGTGTAACCCTCACACCCAGGGGCTGAGCGTCGCTGACGGTGACGGATGGGGGACAGACAGGCCATGTCAACACACTTAGGCGTTCTCTAACGCAGCGCCGTCTGTCTGTCCTCTGTAACGTGCTCAACTCAGTGAGTTCTCGTGATTGGACCCAGAGCGGAGGTCACTGCCCGTGGAAGGCACCCTGCCACACGATGTCGTGCTGTCCAAATTCAGGGGACAGCCCGGGCTGGTGTTGGTCAGTGGTTAGAGCATCAGGTTTGATTCCCATCAAGGGCACACATCTGGGTTGCAGGTTCTATCCCCAGCCCCAGGTGGGTTGTGTGCGGGAAGCAACCAGTCAATGTGTCTCCCTCACATTAATATTTCTCTCTATCTCCTCCCCCTCCCTTCCACGCTCTCTAAAAAGCAAAGGGAAAAATGTCCTTGGGTGAGGATTAAAGAAAAAAAATGGCCCTGGCCAGTTTGGCTCAGTGGATAGAGTGTCGGCCTGTGGAACATGGGGTCCCAGGTTTGATTCTGGTCAAGGGCACGTACCTCTGCTGCAGGCTCCTCCCCAGCCCGGGCCCTGGTCAGGGCTCAGGCAGGAGGCAACGAATCGATGTGTTTCTCTCACATCGATGTTTCTCTCTCTTTCCTTCTCTCTTCCACTCTCTCTAAAAAAAACAAAACAAAAAAGGAAAAAGATTTCACAGAAGAAACAATAGCAACAATGTGGCCTTTTAGCACCTGGGAAACGCGATGGAGGATGCTGGATGCTTTGACATTTCAAAGTCCTTAGAGAATATGAAACTTCGAGTTGTTTGCAGCAAGTTATGAGCCAATGTTTGGGCCGCCCTCCGCTCGATCATCCGCTCGATCATCCCGCTGGTGGTGACCACCGTGCGGGGGTGGGGGGGCCGCTCCGAAGCTGAACGACGGCGGCAGCGGGACCCACAGAGCCGCCCAGACCTCGGTGCCGAGTCCACTTCCTCGTCTAAAACCCGAGCCCATCGGAACCTCGGCGGCGACCGCCCTGAGTGGCACGGGACCTGCTCCGTCCCCAGCGACTAGAAGCTCAGGGCTTCTTGACACGGAGCCGACCATTCCAACCCCCTGCAAAGCTCGGGGAGCCGTGGGACAGTGAACCATGGCCCCACCCCGCCCGCCGGCCTGCATCTCCCTGAGGCCCCCCCAACCCGCCACGGGCCCCCGGATCGCCCACGGCCGGAGCCCACCGACCTCTGACGAACAGGAAGGCGCGGTGCTCGCTGATGCCGCCGCGGGACACGATCCTGAGGGTGTAGAGGCCCTCGTCGTCCTTGCTCAGCTGGCTGAAGGATAGCGCGGCCTGGCCTTCCCCAAAGAACATCTGTGTCCAGGGGGACTCCTTCAGGAGCACGTCTGCGAGGGCAGGAGGGGGTCGGCGCTGGAGCACTCACACCTGGGCCCGTGCGCCCACCGTGCCCACGCGGGACGGTCCCCTGGGCTCCACGACCTGAGAGCCAGGTTCGCAAAGAGCCACGAGAAAGCGAGGCTCCGACGGGGAAGCAGTGGCCGCCGCACGGGCACAGGTCCACGCAGGCGAGAAGAATCCCAGATCACATGGTTTCCCAGCCGTGGCCGGTGTGGCTCAGTTTATAGCGTGCCGGCCCATGGACTGAAGGCTCTCGGGTTCGATTCCATACAAGGGCTGCAGGCTCCATCCCCGGCCTCGGTCAGGGTACATGAGGGAAGCAACCAACGATGTGTCTCTCTCACATCCACGTTTCTCTGTCTGTGTCTCCCCGCTCCCTTCAACTCTCTCTAAACATCCAGGGGAAAATATCATTGGCTGAGGATTAACCACATGGAGGGAGACCCCCGGCCGCAGCCGCCCCACTCACCGTCCCGGTACCACTCGGCGCGCGGCTGCACCCGCTTCAGGTCCGGCGTCACCAGCAGCGTGCACTTCAGAGTGAGCGTCTCGCCTTCTCTCCGGAAGGTGACCCCGAACTTCTCCAGAAACTGGACGTCGAAGTGCATGTACGGCACCACGGACGGCAAGGGCACTGCGGAGGGAACAGGGCAGTCGGGGCAGGGCTCACGGGCTCAGCGCGGGGACACACGCGGCCCTTCCCTGTGACACGGCTGGCGCGGCCAAGGGGAGCACGGGGCCGTGACGGGCGGCGGGAGGCGGAGGCACAGGTGTGTCCACGCGTGGGCCCCGCCCATGACCATCCAGGCAGGCCTGGCGCCGCTCAGGGTCTGGGTCCACTGCCCCTCACCAGTGCACCCGGGGCCCGGGGCTTGCGGAAAGAGGGAAACTAGCCGAAACCGGTTTGGCTCAGTGGATAGAGCGTCGGCCTGCAGCCCAGTAGGGAGTGTGCAGGAGGCAGCTGATCGATGTTTCTCTCTCATCGATGTTTCTAACTCTCTATCTCTCTCCCTTCCTCTCTGTAAAAAATCAATAAAATATATTTTTAAAAAAGAGGAAACTATCCTTAAACTCAGAAGGCGGCCCCGGTCTGCCCGTCAAGGGTTTAGATTCGGCTTTTTCCCGATTGAAAGTGCCGCGTCTCACCCCAGGATGGCAGCGGAGCACGCGCCAGCAGACGATGCAGCTTGGAGAGCTTTTCAAACTTTAAAAAATCTGACCTCTAGAAAATAATTTTTTAGCCCGGCCTGTGTGGCTCAGTGGTTCACCCATGAACCAGGAGGTCACGGTTCGATCCTGGTCAGGGCACAGGCCCGGGTTGCAGGCTCAATCCCAGTGTGGGGCGTGCAGGAGGCAGCCGATCCATGATTCTCTCTCTTATCATTAATGTTTCTATCTCTTCCTCTCCTTTCCTCTCTGAAGTCAGTAAAAATATATATGGGGGAAAAAAGAATTTTTTAAACCATGTGCTATGTCAGTATATATTTTTCTGCCCAAAAGGGAAAAAAAAGTCGACTTACAGCCAATCGGGAGCCCCATGGAGTGGATCGGCTCCTCTTCCCCTCGGAACCCTGAAAGGCAAGGGGGTGATGGGCAGAGCGAGCCCAAGGGCGTGAGGCGTGCCCCCCGTACCCTCCCCCGTCCCCGGGTGCTCACTCACGTTTCACCACCACGGCCGCGTTGGTGGACGCCTGCCCGTGCACGTTCGTGGCCACGGCTGAGTAGGTGGCGGTGTCGTCAAAGTTTGCCCTTGGAGAGAAAAAGCCAGGCTGTCAGCTGTTCCATCAGAGCAGGTGACCTGCCTCTGAACACAGCGTCCTGGGAAGCGGCCAGGTGGCCTCGGTCCTTTGTTCGTGAAAGACGTGCCTGAGAACGCCAGCTCTGTCCTGGGACTCGGTGTTCAGTACAGACCCGGCAAGGTCCGGGCCGACTTCGTAACAAACGAGAGGCCCGGTGCACGAAACTCGTGCAGGGGTAAGGTCCCTGGGCCTGGCCGGCGATCAGGTTCCCCAGCCTCCCTGCCTCCCCCTTCCTTCACTCGCTCAGTGCCCTGCCACTGCCACCGCTGGCCACCCTCCATGTTCCTCACCACCCCCTGGTGGTCAGCGCATGTCATAGTGAGCAATCGAACTCCCGGTCTCCTGGTCAAACTCCCAAGGGGACAATTTGCATATTAGCCTTTTATTATATAGGACCAACAGTATGTATTGCTTTTGTTAACCCTCGCCCGAAGATATTTCTTCCATTTATTTGTAGAGAGAGTGGAAGGGAGAGGCAGAGACAGAGAAATATGGATGTGAGAGAGACACAGTGATTGGTTGCCTCCTCCATGCACCCTGACCAGGGCCAGGGATGAAGCCTGCAACCGAGGGACGTGCCCTTGACCAGAATCAAACCAGGAATCCTTCAGTCCACCGGCCGACACACTAACCACTGAGCAAGCTGGCCAGGGCTAAACAGTATGTTTTGTAAGCTGCTCGAATACACCTACTGAGGGCCTCACTTCACTCGGGGGACTTTGGTGATTAAATAAAACCATGCATTTGAAGATGCTCTGCAACTTTAATGTGGTTTTGTTGTTTGTTTCTTTGTGTTAATCCTCACCTGAGGATACTTGCCCAATGATTTTAGGGAGACTGGCAGAGAGAGGGAGAGACAGAGAGGAACATCATGTGGGAGAAACAGACCGATTGGTGGCCTCCTGCACATGCCAGACCAGGGCCCGGGCCAGGGAGGAGCCTGCAACCAAGGTACGTGCCCTTGACTGGAATCGAACCCAGGACCCTTTGGTCTGCAAGCCGACGCTCTATCCACTGAGCTACACAGGCCGGGGCTGTATGTTTCTTGCCTGTTCTTCATTGAAAAGCATCCACTGAATTCCCTCTCCTCCACGGCCTCCA